ACTGGTGACAGGTGGTAATTACAATGGTTAACACTGGTGAAACCGAATAGTTGGTTTTCACCATCACTTTCAGAACGCACCCAAGCCTCCAAAGTATGGAGTGTGTTTTTGCAACAAAATGACACAAACCATTAATCTTGGATTCACTATCCGGGCACGTTAACCACTAGGTCATGCAACTCCTCTTTCACCCACCCAGAATAAGAGCAAACCTTGGTTAACAATATTTTCCAATTTATTGCAAAATAGAGTGCTACGGAAGATGATAATCATTACAAACGTCTGACACGATACTCAACTATAACGTTGTATGTTTCATTTTTATAAGGCTAGGTCATTTTCATGTTACACTGATATAAAGATGACTTATTAGTGTCTCTTTATAAAAATACAGGAAGTCGAAATGTATTTCCTTATTCTAAACCCTGCTCAGTAAAAGGGCAATGTATGAAGGTATATGTATGCTAGTTTTAATGGTTATAGATGTACCATGGATTTAGATGGTATTAGTTTTATATCATATTTAAGAAATATCGTACGATAGAACTATTTTAATGAAGACTATTTGGAAATTATCATAAGTATTCACTCTTTTATCTTTCAGATAGCTAGAGAGTACAACAGGCGGTCCTCCATTAAGATGGATGCTGATGAGGTTTTAAAAGAATGGGTTGTAAGTGTTTACTGCCATAGTTATTGATGAAATGATTTGAAATAAATTATATTATTAGCCTGATTATATCATCTGTCGTTGTTTTCACCTGACGAGACCTATGCAAACTATCTTGTAAATTTCTTCTATATGTTTCACTAAAAGTAATTCATCGTTACTATGATTTATGACAGTTGTTAGGATTAACAAGTGCGATGGAAAGCATATTTGTGTATTTCTATGGCATTCCTTTAAAGGATTAAAATCATAGGTTTATAAATACTTTTTTCTTTTCGTGAATTTAAACGTTTTACACCATTAATTCTCGTGCTATTGTTTGCAGAAAAATACAGGACTTGATGAAAATGAAATTTTTCAAGATACAGAAGAAGCTGAACAGACCAGGTTGGAAACCCTCAAGGAACTTGTCGAGGTGAGAAGAAACTAGTAAATATGGACACTTTATATTCATTGTACCAAACATGTTACACTGGTATCACCGGTTTTATCTATTCTTTCACCTAGTGTCAAACATGTTACCTAACATTTTTTACTACAACTCATAGCTTTTACAATAAGGAAGAATATTTTTAGAACCGGTACGACGTTTCGATCTCTGGTGCACTTAAGTACACTTAAGTAAACTCAAAACGAAACTATTAATATTGCCTAACAATTTATAAAAAAGTTTCAACCAAGTTACTAGTGCCCTAAACTACTGTCAACCATTGTATTTAGTAGTTTAAGCTAACGCTGAGAATTATATATACCTAACTAAACCACTGTTACACGTTGTACCTAGCTCTTAAATCAATGTTGGTCAATAACCATTCACTTTTAGCCTCTTGTACAGTGTAAACCATTGTAATTATCACCTGTCACCAGTGTTAACCATTGTAATTATCACCTATCACCAGTGTTAACCATTGTAATTACCACCTGAGACAAGAGTAGCCTAAAAATTGGCTGAGGGTACTTTTGACTAGTTGCCTTCCTTCATTTAGTCTATCAGTTCAAAATATGGGACGGTTATGTGTATCTTTGCGCAAAATATCTAAGGAAAAATTTATTCAGTGGAAAGTCTTGGTAAAATCACATTAAAAACTGTCGTATAGATTTCAGTTCGAGGTAATAATAAAATTTTGTGTATAATATTAAGCTTTTTCAAGGTATTGTTAAGAAATATTTTTTTAGTTTAAGCTATATAATAAAGATAATTTATGGTATCGGACAAAATCAAATGTTTTGTTTGTTTGCAATTAAGCACAAAGCTACACAATGAGCTTTCTGAGCTTTGCCCACCGCTGGTATCGAAACATTA